GGGTCTGTTCAGGGAGGGCAACTGTGGGGGTCAAGGAGATCCTGAGGGTGGCCAGGATCAAGCAGTCCGATCCCTGCTCTGTTCTCAGAGGCAGAAAGACAAACACACACACACACACACAAAAACATCTGCTTCTCAGCTGAACAAATGTCTTTCTCTCTTGTCGGTCTCTCCCAGAGGTTCTGCATGGAGCAGGCGAAGGGCGGGCATCTGGTCTCTATCGAAAGCTCCGGAGAAGCAGACTTTGTGGCCCAGCTGGTCGCTGATAACATGAAGAGACTCGATTTCTATATCTGGATCGGGCTGAGGGTTCAAGGCGAAGTCAAGGTAGTCCTCAACTTTAGGACCATAACTGAGTCCAGAATTTCTGTTGCTAAGTGAAACATTTCTTAAGTGAGTTTTCCTCCATTTTGTGACTTTTCTGGCCACAGTCGGTGAGTGGATCACTGTAGTGAAGTTAGTAACATGGTTATTAAATAAATCCGGCTTTGCTTGTCAGACGGTCGCCAAAGGGGTTCCTGTCATCCTGGGGACACTGTGACCGTCGTAAACACGAGTCGGTTGCCAAGCATCTGAATTTCGATCCTGTGAGCACAAGGACACCAACGTGGTTTCAGTGTGAAAAATGGCCCCTTTTTCCAGTGACGTCGTAACTTTGAATGCTCACTAAATGAACTGTTGTAAGTCGAGCACTGATTGCAGGTCCTCTCTAATGCTAATCTTTATCGATTCCCCTTTCCTGTTTCTAAAGGTTTGTGGTTTTGTTTTGGAAGAATCTCCCAATGGGAGGCAGAGGTCTCCCTATTCAATGTTCCTGCCTGGGACAACGGCAGAGAAAACCAAAGCAGAAAAGCTTTACACACTCTCTCTCTCCCCCCTCCCCAAATCCTTCCTTCCTCCTGAAGGACCCACTGCGGTCTTGAAGGGCCGGATCCTGCCCTGGCCCCCATCTCGGCCCCCAGGCCTTCCTCCCTCTGGAGGGCCCCTTGGATGGGCTCCACACCTGGGGGATGAATAGAATAGAATAGAAATATTAATTAATTTCATTGGACTTTGGCGCTCTTTCTCTTCCGGAGACCAAGGAGGGTCGTTCGGAGCGGTCACCACGTGGGGCATGGGGCAAAGTGGCCCCCAAGCTGAGCTGGTGACTCCTGGGACCCCTCCAGGCCGTTTTCCCTCTGGATCTCCTGACTGTCTCCACTCCAGGCAGTCCCCAAGTGGAACCCTGCTTAGCTGCTCCGGGTCAGCTGGGGTGGATGGAGAGAGAGAGAGGGAGAAGGAAAGAGAGAGATACAAAGAGATAGAAAGAGAGATAGAGAGGGAGAAGGAGAGAGAAAGAGAGAGAGAGATAGATAGAAAGAGAAAGAGATAGAAAGAGAGAGAGAGAGAAGGAGAGAGGGAGAAGGAGAGAGAGAGAGGGGGGGGGAAGGAGGGAGGATACATTTGCTCTGCCCTTTTAAACCTACCCACTTTTCTGCCCGGGTAGCCAGAGCCCCCTCCTCAATTGGCTCACGGGGCCTCCTTCTCTTTCCAGCAATGCACCTCAGAGTGGAGTGATGGCTCCAGTGTCAGTTATGAGAACTGGATTGAAGCAGAATCCAAAACGTGTCTTGGGCTGGAAAAAGGGACAGGTAAGTCCATGCGGTGGTTCACATGGTGTTAGGTCAAGGAGGGTGCCCTTCCCTCCATGAGGACCCCAGGGGATCCTTCTCGCAGCCCCCCCCCCCCCCTTGGCCACTGGGGACCTTTCTTGACCTCCTGGATCTCTGAGCTGCCTCAGTCCTTCACTCTGCACAGACAAGGGAACACGACACAACCATGGGAGAAACCGTTAAAAACGGGACTGGAGCTCTGTATGAAAATTATTACGGGGCCATCAGCTCATAATGCAACTAACAAGCTCCATCTTAACCTTGTTCCGAAAGGCCATCATTGTCTCAGGGCATCTGGCTTTTCCCCCCTGGTTTGCTTGCTCAGATGTAGATCAATCTTCAACACCCCATTGCGGTGAGAAGAACCTCGGCCACATTTTGTGTGTCTGTGTAGAAGGGAAATATTAACACATGCCTGGTCGAACTATAAACCAATCAAAAGAGCAATTTGGTCTCTGGTGAAGGCACCAGGCTAGAAACAGGAGACGGGGAGTTCTAGTCCCACCTTAGGCGCTAAAGCCGACTGGCTGACTTTGGACCAGCCCCTCCCTTTCTCTGCCCAACCCACCTCACAGGGTTGTTGTTGTGGGGAAAAGAGGAGGAGGAAGGTGTGTTGAATATGTTTGCTGCCTTGGGTTAGTTGTAAAGTAAAGAGGTGGGATACATATAAATGAATAAAAATTAAATTAAAAAAGAGATAAAAGATATGAATGAAACTTGAGGGCCAGGTAACTTATCTGGGTTAGAAGAACCTGTTGAACCCCCAGCCTGTTTTAGGGGATGAGAGTCTCCACCTGTGGTATCTTCATGTCCTCCTGCAAATGAGCCAGGAGCCTCTGAAAAGATCTTCTGGGACTCTCAGGTAATCTCTGCAGAAAGTGATCATAATTTCCCTTTTTTATTCAGATTTTCGTAAGTGGGTCAATGTTTACTGTGGACAACGAAATCCTTTCGTCTGCGAGGCATAGTCTGAAGATGCAGCTGAGTGAAGTCTGGAGAAGCAAGAAAGCCCCCCCCCACCTCCCCCACCCTGCCTGCCCCAATCTCTGCTCTGCCCCCTTCGCTCAACGGATGCTCTCTGTAGCTGGATCTGGTTTTGCTGCTCCTGATGGGCCAGAAGGTCCAATAAATTCTGCCTAGCATGACTGGCCTTGTTTCTTTGGGGCCCCCAGGAGACGGTTGAGGCCCAAAGCTCCAGACCCCCCAGTCCCCTTCCTGGCAGGGCTCGGCTTTAGGGGGGGAGGGTGGCTTTTAGGGGGGACCACCCACTGAGGCTCAGATGCTCTCCCCTCCCCCTCACTGGAACCGAAGGGGGGGTGGAACCTGCTGGGCCTCAGCACCCCTTCCCTGCCCCCACAGCCGATTGGCACCCCCCCTCTGGGCAAGATGGCGGCATCCTGCTAAAGAAGGCACGGGGGTCGGAGGGAGGGCTGGGTCCAGGAAGTGCTTTCTGGTTGCTGAGTTTTCCAAGTAGCAGCTAAACCCCCTACTCTGGGAATTTGGGGGTCCCTCTCAGGAGCCCCGAGATCCTGAAGAAACGGCATCTCGGTTGTCTCTATTTTCTCCATGGAGCTTAATGGGGCCTCAGGATGGGCCCATCAGGGGGGATTTCCTGGCAAACAGTCTCCCCGGGAAACGAAGCCCAGAAATTAGGGGAGCAGCTAGGAAGATTCAGTCATTGGGAAAGGCAGATCTTAAGACTCGGGGAGAGTCCTTGCCTGGCTATCTGGGAATGGTTTCTCCCTGTGGGAGCCAGGAAGCGGACAGGGGCCGGGAGGCCATCAGGGCCCCCACCTGCCCATTACACCCTCCTCCTTTTAAGGAGTCCCTGGTTGGCCCCCTCCTCAACAAAGCCATTCCTCCGTCCCTCCTTTTCAGCGTCTCCCTGAAACAACTAGGTGAGACCCTCCCTCACCAGGGTTTGGGGTATATGCAGCACGCGGAGGATTCTCAACGCTCCATTTCCCCACTGGAGCCCCAGGTGATGCTCTGGCCGCCCTCCTGGGGGGCTGGAGGCTGGGGGGGGGCTGGATGAGGGAGGGAGGGAGGGAGAGAGAGAATGGATAGAGAGATAAAGATGGATAGATGGATAAATATAGATGGATAGATATTATATCATAGATGATAAATTATTGAAGCTGGATATAGATAGATAGACAGACAGACAGACAGACAGAGAGACAGACACAGACAGACAGACATAGATAGATACGTAGATGATAGGCAGATAAAGAGATTAGATAGAGGGGGAGAGGGGGTAAGAGAGGGAGGGAGGGTGGGAGAGAGAGAGAGAGAGATCTCGCTATCAAGTGAGGCCATGGCTATCAGATTTCGCCGATCAAATTCTCAGCCACAGGAGGGCAGCAAAGTTTATTTTTTGGTATCCTGTGAATATTCTACAAAATCCTTGATTTACGACCATTCATTCTGCAACCATTCAAACTTAGACAGTGCTGAAAAAAGTCTGGTCCTCACAACCTGGTCCTCAGAGCATATATATGGTGCCCTCTTTTCCCTTTCTCTATTTTTTTTTATTTCTCACCTTTATTCTTATAATAATCTCTTGTTTACTTTGTTCTTGGTAATTTTCGCCTGGGGATTTTGGCTGTTCTCCTGATAGGTTTATACTTGGGCCAGGCGTGTGCCAGTTTTTCTCTTCCACATAGCAAAAGCTTTGTTAAGATATCGAATTTAGTAGCTGGAACAGTCAAGTGTATGAGAGGCCAGAACACACAGTTGTAGTTTATTAGTTAGAGAGTGCTGACTCATGCCGTGAGGCAATCCGTGCTATGATTGGTTGCCTAAGTATGAAGGGGGCGTTTCCCTTTTTTCATCCGTATGTTCTCTAAACTATTTAATTTTACCTCACAATATTCCTGTGTTCCTGACTTTCTTATCTGCTCCTGCATGAGGCAATCTACGCTATGATTGGTTACCGTAAGGATGTAGGGGGCGTTTCCCTTTTCCTCCGCCTTCTTCTTCTGGGTGTTCTGTATACTGATTAATTTACCTCATGATATTCTTGTGTTCCTGACTATCTTGTCTGCTCCTGCATGAGGCAAGCTACGCTATGATTGGTTACTGTAAGGATGTAGGTGGCATTTCCCTTTTTTCCCGCCTTTTTCTTCTGGGTGTTCTGTATACTGATTAATTTACCTCATGATATTATATTCCCTGACAAGCTTTTAGCAGAGTGATCCCTACCACCCTTCAAATAGCCCCTTAGAAATGGTAGAAAAGCATTGATGAAGATCAGCAATAGAAAGGACCTGGTCTCTTTAAAAGCCTCAATCCGATCTAGACCTCGGTGTTTTTAAAATATTGGGAGATGTAGTTGGACACTTCAACGGACTCTGCCACATCGTGGATGGAGGCGAGATGGCAGTTTTCCTGCTGCTCCGTGCAGATCCTGTGCTGGAGAGCGACAACAGAGAAAGGCATTCGTTTAACATGTTCTCTGTCTGTGTGTATTTGTGCATGTCCGAAAAGAACAAGGATCTGATTGCATGGTCCGGGCCACCGTCTTGACTTTGTTGACCCCTGCAACTATCTTCTTGAACAGTTCCTGATTTAAATTCTTGTGTTAAAACCTCAGATCCCCATCACTTCAAAGGCTAGGTGGTCAAGAAGCCTGAAGATACCAGCCAGAGTAAAAAATCAGCAAATCTGTTGTCTAGCAGATGCTCACTCAACCTTGAAGAATGACCCCAAAGTGACCTTCAGATGTTCATGGACCTGCCTGTGAGGAGGAATTTTGAAGGTTGCAAACTTTCGGTAGGAGCAGCTGGAGGGTCAAGTCTCCGCCATTTGCTTTCTGCTGCTTTTTTGTTTTAAGCACCCCTCGGTTTAATTGCACATTTTAACATTTTCTTTTCCCTTTTGCTTTTGCTTTTTAAATGTTTTGAATGAGTTCTTTCATTGGCTAATATCATTTTACGCATCTGTGATGTAACTCACGTCCTCAATAACTTTTGTATGTAGCGTGGAACATTTCATAGCATCCCATAATATTCTTTGTACGATGTTCTCCATGCTCCCCCTCATATTCAGGAGGTTTGTTTCCCTTATTGTAGTGAGTTTGCTAATGAGTTAGTCAAGTTCAGGTCGATGTACGATAAAGGAGAATACACAAGTTGCATTTGGCCACAATCATTGTTGGTCAGTCAAAGCAGCTCACCACCCTCGCTCTGGAGATGGACCACAGGCAGGAGGCATCTCGGTGGTCTTCCTCTGGCTTGGCATAGCCATCCCCCAGCATCCCCCTTGCTTCTG